ATTAAATAATTCTGCTTTAATGTACTGTCACCTCTCCATTCATTCATTCGTTCGTTTTTATGCAAAAGGGCCCATGTGTGAGCCACAGAAAGAAAGGAGAGAGAGAAAAATATTTCCCAATGGAGCCAGGTCACATCATGATCCTTTTCTCCAATTTTCCATCCCATCAGGATTGTATGCACACATGTGTGTACCCAACATGTTTCTCCAGCGGCTGGGACGGGGACTCAAACCCTGGTCGGCCACGGGGAATCTGGCTTCCTCTGTGTAGTACTTAATCGCTGTGCTATGGAGCCAGCCCCACTGCCACCCCTTAAGGAAGACCGGTGGTGGTGGAGCAGTATTGCGACTCTGCGATGGTGGACTCACATGGAAAAGTCCCAGGCTGGCCGGCCGAGGCCTCCCTGTACACACTGGCACATACACCTGTTGGGTGTGCTTCTCACTCTCTCGTTCTCTCTGGCTCTCTCAGAATAAATGAATTAACTTTTTAAAAATGACCATTTTAAGAGTATGGCAAAGGCAATACAGAGAAAGCAATGTCATCATTATAAATATAGAAGTGACTTCAAGAGGTTTGTGGAAAGTGGCATTAAAGTATGAGTTCATTTTGGGGCAAAGAAACCAGCATCCATTCATAGTTTCTACATCATATGCATTTTTTCTTTTTCAATTGTCAGAGAGTTCGTGCAAACACCAGAGAGAGGCACAGAGAGAGAGAGATGGGGAGGGAGTGCTCTCGTCAGGGCGTGCTCACAGCACAGTCCCGTCTCCTCTCTTTCTCCATCCTTTCAGGATTTTGAGCATGTATGCGTGTGCACATAGCATGTCTTTTCGGCCACCAGGACTGAGACTTCAACCATGGTCAGCCATGGAGGATCCAGTTTCCTTAACCACTAGGCCCTGGTCCTGACCCCATAATATGCATTTCCTAGGAACATTCTGGGGGTCCCTCATTTACACGTATGACATTTCTTTCTTTTTCTTTTTCTTTTTCTTTTTTTGGAGAGGTTTTTGCTATAGGGTGCATGTGCTCACCAGACAAAGAGAGACAGAGAGACAGAAAGCGAGAAATCGCCCCCTGGGGGGATGGCCACACTGCAATCCTTTCTCCTCTGTTCTCCTCTCGGGATCTTGGGCATGCACGCACATGCGCCTGGCATGAGTTTAAGCCACTGGGTCCGGGACTCGAACCACGGTTGACTACATGGGAGTCCAACGACGTAGCCATTACGCTAACTGCTGGTCTTTCTTTTTAAGTTCAGTCATTTATTTCTTCCATGAGAGAGAATGACAGAGAAGTAAAGGGAGAGAGAGAGACAAAGAGATGGACTCCACCAACAGCGCCCCTATGTCAAGACTCACCCCAGTCCCCACTGGCCCAGGTCATGAACACACATGTGCATGCCCAGTGTGTTAAGGAAGGTCCCAGGATGGAAACTCAGGACCTTTCCCATGTGGGTCCAGTTGCACTACCACTGAGTCATCACTTGGCCCTGATTTCTACCTTTTTTCCTACCAATACTTAACCATAAAAATTGGGAAGGAGAGGGGCCAACAGGTGACTTAGTGGTTAAAGCACTAGATTCCCACATGGCCAAGCGTGGTTCAAGTCCTGGACCTGGTGGATCCCGTTGGGCACCGGTGCATGTGCCCAAAACCACAAGAGGAGAATGGAGGAAAAGGGACTGCGGCATGGCCAGCTGCCCTGGAGGGTTGTTTCTTACTTCCTGTCTCTCTGTCTCTCTGGTGAGCACACGTTCCCTATAGCAAAACAAAACAAAACAAAACAAAACAGCTCTCTCTCAAAAATAAACAAACGACAACAAAAAAAACACGGAAGAGGAGCTAGGGTAACAAAACTACCTAGTGGCTCCTGTAAATGACTGCTTTCGCTGCTCACGTTACCACCCCTCAAATACCCGCCCCCCCACGTCCAACCGGGGGTCTGTTCAGCCGCTCTAGCAGGCCATGGGTGATTAGTAGGGTTAATCAGAATGCTGAAGGGCACAGTGAGCAATATAAACGTAACAGGATTGTTCTAGGTGCATGCAGATCAGATGCACTGTCACTTTAACTTACTACGAGTGATGTGATCTGGCTGTTTAATTTCTCACACCCGAGAGCAGATTTGTCTCCCAGCTAGGTAGTATGTTTCAATTTTATGTTCTTTACCACAAAGGGGAGAAAGAAAGTCTTGCCTGGTTTTAACAATAGCATAAATGGCTAGCTGTCTTATCCTCTTGCCTCAACAAACCGTGGAGGAACACATAAAACCCATCACAAATGTACTATTCCCATAAAGTCAGATTTTATTAGGAAAGCCAACAGAATAGTGACCATTCAAGGCAACCATTAAAAACCGTTATGTCCATTAGTTAGGAAAACCCAATAAGGCTGAAGGACGATTGTTTAACCAGCTCTTGCAACACAAACACACACACACACACACACACACACGCACACACAAACTTTATTTTTTCACATAATTATTTTATTTAACTTTATTACTTTATTTATTTATTTATTTATTTATTTTAATTTGACCGGAAAGGGGCAGAGTGAAAGAGAGAGAAAGAGAGAAAGTAAGAAAAGAAGCCACCAGGTCTGGGACTCGAACCTCAGTCGGCCATGTGGGAGTCCAGCACCCTTAATCACCACCACCACCCCATCACATGCTAAAACTTTAAATATGACAGCAAATGGGCAAGTATCACCAGGATATTTTATAAAGTGCTAAAAATCCTAACTTGTGATTAAAATCACTAGATTTTTAAGCCTATAAAGATTTCACCTGTTGTGAAATGATAGGTAGAAATGATATAAAAAGACCTATTGCAGTTCCTTGTCAAAATCTGATGTGAAGCACATCGGCCAGCTGTTGCCCTCCACAGTGCGCAGCTGCTGCGAGGGTGCGGCTCCCAGCCAAAGCATCCGTTGCTGAGCTCTCCGGCATCACGTTGGAATGTGAGTGTAAGTGAAGCGTGTCACTTCCAGGCTGAAGTGGCAAAACAGCATATGGCTCTCCCTTCCCTGCATCCCCCACCTGCCAGAGGGAGACAAAGGGGATAGCGGAACCCCAAGAAGAAGGAAGTCCATATCTCTAAATCCCACATGGAAAGGTCTCTGCAGAACCACTGCGGCCTTCACGTGAATATGTGTTTTATTGTGTTAAGTGACTGAAACTTCAGGGCTTTATACCTAATTTAACTAAAACAAGGTGGAAGTGGCTATAGATTAGTAAGTATAGTGTACCAGGTGATGGTTTATAGTTTTGGTTTCTTTTCTTAGTTCTTCAGCTTTCCCAGGAAAATTCAGCTTCCATTACCAAGCACTCAAGCTCTAGCAGACGTTATATTCTGGGGCTGTTATGGAGGAAGAAAATGTTTACCCTAGAATAACTCTTGTCTTGTTTTTTGTTTTTGTTTTTGTGTGTGTGTGTGTTTTATTCTTTTTTTTTTAATTTTTAATTTATTCATTCATTTATTTTAATTTGACCAGAGAGAGAAAGAGAGGGAGAGAAAGTGGGAAAGCAAGCCACCAGGTCCAGGACTTGAACTGTGGTCGGCCATGTGGGAATGTCCAGCACCTTAACTACCATACCACCTGCTGGTCCCCAAATAACTCTTGTTTAAAAAAAAATAAGTTTTGCTTTTCTTTACTCATGATGGAGTATGTGCATGTGACAGCGAGAAAGAGGGCCACCCCACAGAGTCAGGTCTCACCATGATCCCCTTCCTCTGGTCCTCTAGCCCATCACATCTTAAGCACATGATGTGTTTCATGCTGACCTGACCAGGAGTTAGAATCACAGTTATCAGGCCAGCTGGTGGCCTGGTAGTTATGGGAGGCAGATTCCACACGGCCAGATCCAGATCCAGTGGTTTAAGAAACATGCTAGACACAAATGCAAGAGTGCTCAAAGTCCTGAGAGGGATGTGGTGTGGCCATCCCTGCAAGGGTGCTGTCTCACCTCCTCCCTCGGTCTCTCTCTGGTGAGCACATGTACTCTCTAGATAACTAAAAAAATAAAATAAAAAGAATTGTGGTTGTCATGTGGCATTCGGGTTCTCTTGAGTATTGCCTTCATCACTGCACCACAGAACCAGCGCAAATAATTCTCTCTATCTTTTATTAATTGCCAAAGGATGTGTGCACTCCCAGAGAGAGACGGAGAGACAGATGGAGAGGGAGAAAGTACCCTGCAACACGGTGTGGCCACATCTTAAAAATGTATCACTTTTTATTTTTTTGAGAGATTTTCACTATAGGGCGCGTGCGCTCGCCAGACAGACAGAGAGAGACACAGAGACAGAAAGCGAGAAATCACCCCTCAGGAGGGATGGTCACACCGCAATCCCTTCTCCTCCATTCTCCTCTCGGGATCTTGGGCACACACACACACACGCCCGGCATGAGTTTTAAGCCACCGGGTCCAGGACGTGAACCGCGGTCAACTACGTGGGAGTCCAGCGACATAGCCATTATGCTAACTGCTGGTTCCCATGTATCACTTTTTTAAAAAGGGTTTTGTCATTGGGTATGTGTGCTCACCAGAAAGAAACAAAAGAGATAGAAAGAGGGAAAGTGAGAAATTTTTACCCCCTACCCCTGCAGGGGGAATGGCCATGCCACAATCCCTTCTCCATTCTCCTCCTGGGATTAAATCCACTCAAATTGGACTTGCTCATTGCCGTTGAGATTTGTTCCCTGATTTTTCATAAAAGGTTAAATATTTCAACTTTCAAGCGTGAAAAGCTCAAATGTGGAGTTCATAATTGGGCATGCTCACACACGCGCCCAGCATGATTTTCCAAGCTGCCAGGTTCGAGATTCAAACTGCGTTCAGCCACGTGGGAGTCCAGCACTGTAACCACTATGCCTACTGGTCTCGATATCTATCATACCCCCATAAATCTGGGAGGGAAAAGACCTTGAAAGTTAGACACACAGTAACCTTGGCAAAAGAGCTGTGCTCAGAATTGATCACACGTACTTACCTCTGAGGTCTGTAGTCTCTTGGCTACCAGCCCAGCACAGCAGAGGACGGCGGGCAGAGCTGTTCGGCAGTGCCATCCTGAAGCAAGCAACCAGAAGAAACAAGTGACACATGTATGGGTTTATCTATTGCACAGGGCCTGTGGACTTGGAGTGATTTCCACTCATCTTTTCATTTGATTTCTTAAACTTTTGCTTCTATTCTTCCCCTCTTTCCACATACCCAACTATAACCCCACACTCCCATTAAATCCACTCAAATTGGACTTGCTCATTGCCGTTGAGATTTGTTCCCTGATTTTTCATAAAAGGTTAAATATTTCAACTTTCAAGCGTGAAAAGCTCAAATGTGGAGTTCATAATTGTTTTAACAGGATTTATAAGTGTTTCTCTAGGGAGTTGTTTTCAAAATAAGTGCTACGAGTGAAATAGGAAAGATTACAGTAATTATGCTGGTTTCCAAATAAAACTTAGCACTTAATAGCAGTGGAGTAACTTAGGGACTCACAGATGTTCTGCCTATCCTCCCAAACATATCCGTATCTCAGTTTCCATAAATTCAGACATGGTACTCTTTTTTAGGCAAGGAGGGTTTTGGTGAAAAGCACAGGTTCTTTTGTATGGAATGGAAAAAGTCTTCAGTTCCTAAAGTATGACACATGGTGGCAATTGTTCTGGGGCCTCTGTTGGGGCAGAGGGTCATCATGCTCCATACACCAGAGACTGTGTGTGTGTGACATAGGAGTAGAGTGCAATCAATGTCAGCCTCAAGAGTCCTAAGAAGCCAGGACTAATCATCCCTGACACAGGGGCTGCTGGCCCACCCTTTCTCTTTCTTCTGACCTACAGCAGCCATCGAACTACCTCAAGTATTCATTTTAAAATGCAGATTTCCAGGGCTGCCCTTGTAGCCTAGTGGTTAAGGGAGCCAAATCCCACATGGCAAACTGTCTCAAATCCCGGCCTTGAGAGCGTGAAAACACACTGGTAATATGTGTGTATATGCCCCTAATCCTAACAGGATGGTGAAATAGAGGAGAAGGGATGTGGTGTAACCACCTTCCGATAGGAGTTGCTTTCTCCCCCACCCCGTCTCTGTGTCTTCCTGGAAGTAAATGTGCCCTTTGGTTATTAAAAAAATAATAATAAAATGTATTGCCTATTTCTAAACTCAGCCTCCAGTAATTATTTTTCAGTAGGTTTGGGGCAGATGACCCTGATACAGAGAATCAGTGAGCCAGCTTTCTGACTTTAAAAGTCACTTTTCTTGCTTCTCTTTACATTTTTTTAAATCCCCTTCTCTATATTTTCTTGATCGCCAAATAGAGTATCTTGGTATAGCTGGGTTTTAAATTTTTAAAAATTATTTTTATTTTATTCATTATTATTATTATTTTAATATGACCAGAAAGAGAGAGAGAATATAAGAAAGCAAGCTGCCAGGTCCCTGGTAATGTCTAACCTACTTTTTATTTAAGAAAAAATAAGGGACCAGCAGTTAGCACAATGGCTATGTTGTTGGGCTCCCACGTAGTTGACTGCGGTTCAAATCCCGGACCTGGCGACTTAAACTCATGTCGTGCGTGTGTGCGTGCATGCCCAAGATCCCGAGAGGAGAATGGAGGAGAAGGGATTGTGGTGTGGCCATCCCCACTGGGGGTTGATTTCTTGCTTTCTGTCTCTCTGTCTCTCTGTGTCTTTCTGGCGAGTGCACGCACCCTATAACAAAAACCTCCCCAAAAAAAAATAAAAAAGAAAAAGAAAAAAGAAAAAAATAATAATTATTTCACATTTTATTCATCATTATTATTTTTTTAAATTTGAACAGAGAAATAGAGAGAGAGAGAAGAAAAGTGAGAAAGTAAGCCACCAGATCTGGAACTAGAACCATGATCAGCCAGGTGGGGGAGTTCAGTGCCCTTAACCACCATGCCAGCCTCAGTACTTTTTGATCTCTCTAAATTTGCCTATTCTAAATACCTCATATAAGCAGAATTTTTTTTTTTAAAAAAACATCCTTTTGTGTCTGGCTTATTTATTTTTGTATGACGTTTTCAAGGTTTATCCATGTTGTAGCATGTATCAGAATTTTATTCCTTCTGAAGGTTGAATAATATTCCATTGTACGTATATACCATGTTTTGTTTATCTATCCATTCATTTAGTAATAGACATCTGAATTCTTTCCATATTTTAGCTATTGCTCCATTTTTTCAAATTTATGTTTTATTTATTCATGATAGAGTGCACATGCACACACATGAGAATGAGCATGAGAGAGAGGAGTGCCCTCCACAGCAAGTCTGGTCACATCACAGTCTTCTTGCTCTGGTCCCTCTAGCCCATTGGATTTGGGGCACTTGCATGCATACCTGGTGTGTTTCAGGCTGACTGGACCACCTATCTGAATTGTAGTTGTCATGTGAGATCTGGCTTCTCTTTAAGAAAAAAAAGATTTACTTTATTTTCTCTTTATTTATCATTTTTATTTTTTATTTTGACCAGAGAGAGACAGAGAGAGGGAAAGTAAGAAAGCAAGTCACCAGGTCTGGGACTTGAACCATGCTGGGCCATGTGGGAGTCCAGTGCCTCAACCACCACACCACCCGCCAACCTCATAGATTTGACTACTCTTGAGCGTTACATTACTGCTATTCCATGGAGCCAGCCCTCGGTTATTGATTTCACAAGTGTTTTATATATATTGTTTTAATTATTCAACTTTTAAAATTAAAAAAAAATTATTGTGATTTCATTTTTACTCATGAGTTATAGAGGAATGTGTTGTTAAACTTCTAAATATTTGGACATCTTCTAGCTTTCTTCTCATCATTAATCTCTGGTTTAATAACACTTGTCAGAGAACACGCCTAGGTGATTTGAATTCTTTGAACTTTGACACTTTTTAATGGTCAAAATATGATCAATTTTTAAGATCTTCCATGTAATCTTGAAAAGAATGTATACTCTTCAGTTAGTGGATTCAGTACTCTACGTACGTCAATCAGGACAAGTGTCTGTTTTTTTAGAGAGGCTTTTGCTACAAGGCATGTGCGCTCGCCAGAAAGTCAGGAAGAGATGGAGAGACAGAGAACAATAAATCCCCCCACAGGGGGGATGGCCACGCCGCAATGCCTTCTCCTCCATTCTCCTTTTGGGATCTTGGGCAAATGCACACACATGCCCAGCGTGAGTTTAAGCCATCGGGTCCGGGACTTAAACAACGGTCAACTACATGGGAGTCCAACGACATAGCCATTATGTCAACTGCTGATCCCAGGACAAATGTTTTAATCAAATTGTTCAAATTTGGTATGTCCCTATTTATTATTTGCTGTTCCATCAGTTACTGAGAGAGGTGTGCTTAAGTGATCAATTATGCTTGTGGTTTTGCTTAGTTTTAGTTTTATCTCTTTCAGTTTTATCTAATAAGTTTGGAGACTTTGTTCCTAGATGCAGACATTTAGGATTATTATACCCTCTTATTTACTAGACTCTTCTATTATCACAAAATACCTCTCTATTACTCTAATAATACTATCATCTATTTATCCTATCTAAAGCAGGCTCCTTTTCACCCTCCTTCCCAATTCCCCCCATCACATTTTGTTGTTGTTGTTGTTAAGAGTTTGTTTTTTCAAGAGCAGCATTGGGGTTATAACAATATTTTTTTTAAAGGCACAGAGAGGGGTCTGGCAGGTGGCATGGTGGTTAAGAGCGTTGGACTCCCACATGGCTGACCATGGTTTGAGTCCTGGACCTTGGCTTGCTTTCTCAGTTTTTCTCCCCTCTCTCTTTCATTCTGTCCCTCTCTGGTCAAATTAAAAGGAAAGGAAAGAAAGTTCAATAAAACAATTCTTAAAAAAAAAAAAAGGCACAGAGATGTCAAATATACAACTATTCTCATGCAGCAGAGTCTTCCCATTATAAAGATCCCCCAACAGAGTGGTACATTCATGAACTAACATCGACACATCAATTATTAGTCAAAGCTCACAGTTCACATCAGGGTTCATTCTTTATAGCTTAATAGTGATGGTGTTTAATTGTTATTTTAATTTGCATTTCCTTGATGAAGTAAGTTGTGGGACCATCTTCATATGCTTATTTGCTGTCTTCTTTGGTGAATTAGATGGTGCCTACTAATATGTCTTCTTTATTAAAGGCTCTGGTCCTTTTTTATTTCCTTAGCAGTTTTTGCCTTAGGGCATGTGCACTCACCAGAGAGAGACAGAGAAAGACGTAGTGAGAGAGAATGTGAGAAATCACTGTCCCACTCCTGGGGGGGGGGGAGTGGCCGTGCTGCAATCCTTTCTCCTCCATTCTCCTCCCAAGATCTTGGGCACGCACGCACACGTGCCTGCTGTGAGTTTCAAGCCACTGGGTCCATGACTTGAACTGGAGTTGGCCATGTAGGTGTTCAGTGAAGTACCACTATCCCATCTGCTGGCTCCTCTAGCCTATTTTTAAAAATTAGATCATTTGTTTTCTTGCTGAGTTCTGAGTTTTTTGCCTACTTTGGATAACATTCCTTTATCAGGTGTGTCTTTTGCAAATATTTTCTCCCCATCTGTGCTTGTCTTCTCCATCTCTTGACATGGTATTACTCAGAATAGAAGTTTTTTATTTTAATGAAGTCTAGCTTATCAATTATTACTTTCATGGATCATGCCTTCAGTGTAGTACCTAAAAAGGTAACCTAAGGTCATCTACGCTTTCTCCTGAGAGAAAACATTTTTGCATTTTACATTTAGGTCTATGATCCATTTTGAGTTGGTTTTGTGAATAGTGTACAGTCTTTGTCTAGATTCTTTTTTTCTTTATTATTATTGTTTTATTTTTGCATATGCATGTCTATTTGTTTCTGTACAGTGTGGTGAAGAGATCCTATTTGTTCCATATAATGATGTTTCTTCTTTGCCAAAGATCAGTTAATTATATTTCTGTGAATCTACTCTGAGGTTGTCCCACTAGTCTACGTGTGTATTCTTTTGCCAACACCATGCTGTCTTTATTATCATACCTTTACAGCTCAGTATTTAAGCTGGGTAGTGTCCATACTCCATGTTCTGCTTCAAT